TGCTTAGTCATTTAAGCCCGAATATTTATTAAGCTCAGGCTCTGGGAAGGAACAAAACAAAATCTTCAGCCTCAAGCAGTCTCCATTCTAGTGTGAAAACAGTCAATAAGAAAATGTAGAATTGCATGTTAGCAGCTCTAAGGATACAAGAAAGAAAATTGTACGGGATAGAGCATGATGGAGGGGAGTGCCATTGTTTTAGGGAAGGTAAGAAAGAATATCCTCTTAGGTGAAATTTGAGAAGAGATATAAATGAAGTGGTTTCTGGCCTAACACACATCACTTATGCCAGTAAAGAGCCCTGGTTTGAATGTCACACAAAGGCATAAGCTTGGAGAGTTGAGTACTGACACTGTGCCACAGGAACTGGAAACTCAGATCTGCACAGAGTTTTAGGTTTTTGTAAGAGGACCCATTGTCTGAGGGGTTATGAAAACGTCTAATGACATGAAATTCAAAATATGTGAGCTAAGTTGTGAAAATCAATGGACACATATATTCCAAATACTTAAAAAAAAAAAAATCACTGTGAAAAGAACCCAAATGAGGCAAAAAAGGGAAAAAAAGTACCATTCTTTCACATAGCCTCATATTGGACGTCCCTGAAAAGTATTCGGGCATGACAGCATGTTGGTTACAAAATGGGTTTGGGGGGGTTCTATCTGACTTTGGTTGGTATCTGGGCTCTACTGCTTACTGTGTTTTCCTTAATCTTTCAAGCTTAGTTTTCTCATTTGTAAAGTGGGGAAAATAATGATATTCCTGCATCGAGTTTTGAGAGTACAATGAGATGATGCATTTGGTGTACATAGTGCAGCGCCAGACACACATTAGAATGGCGAAAAGTGTTATATTTAGCACACGTTAATATAACTATAAATGTAGAATAAGATATATATGATATTGTTAATAAAACATACTGTTTTATAATATGGCTTTACCATAACCAATCATTTCAACTGGTTTCTATTTAGTATATTGAGGAGTATCTTACTGTAGTAATCTTGATATTTTGGATGTCTCATTTGCTATAAGATATAAGGCCATCCCTGATTTTAATCTATTTAAGCATGAATGGAATACCAAAGAATTATGCTAATAGTAGTGGCAGGAAACCAAAAGATGGAGACCTAGCTATGTTTTGAAACCCAGGGCAAGGTTTTCTTGTTTGCATACCATGAGAAGGCATTTTGTTGAGGACAAGTAAAATTTATTTAACAAAAGTGCTTTCCCAGAAACAGAGAGGAGATGTTTTCTCTGTCCTGGATCCCCAGCAGCTGCCTTGGTTCACGTCACAAAGGTGCCCTATGAATGAGGAATGACAACAGTGCTCTTCTGGAGAAGCTGCGAATGACAAAAGAAAATGAATGACTCAGGGAAGAGAGCCGGAGTACAAAGGGAGACACTACCATTCCTGCAACACTCAATCATGGATGCCACTAACAGGATGCGGGCATCTCTGAGGGACCACAGGCGTCTGGTTCAAAGCCTGATGAAGAAAAGGTCCCAGGCACAACACAGGACTATTTGTCATTCTGACATCTAGAAGGAAAAGGGGTCAGCTGGACCATAAAAGGCTGATGTTTTGCCAACTCGATTCATGTTCGAACTGTTAACATGTTCACGATCAAAGTGCCTTTCTTTATGGGGTGGGTGGAACAGATTGCAGTATTTTATAGATTGGAAAAATGGAGGTGCAACAAGCACCTCTGTTAAAAACAGCTGGAAAAACAACCAGCCTACCCTCTCAGGAACCAGAAAGCTACACTGACTTAGGGAACAATGATACCAGATACTTACTGAGTGGCTCATTGTGCCAGGTGCTGTGTAAATTACCTTACACTCAGTATCTTATTCTCTTCATGAAAATCTGTAAGGTTGGTGCTGGTTTTACCTCCATTTTACAGATGAAGAAACCAAGACTGTGAAGGTCGCTTAGCTACTCTTAGCTCCGTCTGAAGCTAGAGACCATACCTTAAAACAGCTACAAATTTCCTCTCCAAATGAGAATAATTTGGGGATTCAGGCAAAATAAGAGAATCTAAGAATGAGATAGAGAAAATTACTAATAAGTTGCTGCTATGAAAATGGGAGAGGCTAAATATGAGGTAGAAATGAGTAAAAGTTAAATATATAGTGAGTTAGTAAAGGTTTTGATATCAGGAGCAGCGACTAGGGAAAAGTAAAGTACAGGACCTAAATCAAGGATATTAACTCACGGTGCCCACCTTCTCTCTCACTCCCTATTCTGGACCATCGAATGGATCTATCGCTCCATCCGTGGGAGAATCCTAAATGATCACCCTGTCATGGGGGTCATAACAGCTACCACATAATCACAGCGAATAGTGATGAAGGGACCAAGAATGTCAGGTCTAGGAAGTCAATCTCACAGTAGTGATTTTGAGATCCCTCTGTCCACATTGTGTTCTCCCATCTGGGACCCAGTAACCCTTCCTTCATCTTTGATATTTGTCCCATTGGAGTATAAGTTTTTCTTAAGAGGACAATTATGGAACTTAACAATATCCTCCCCCCAGAAATCATCAATAGGGATAAAGTGGACTAGATGGGCATATTTACTTTGAAGCAGTGGTGAGTTTGCCTTAAAATGCTTTCAGACTTGAAAGATACAGAAGAGATCTCTTATTCTAGAGAGTTTTCATTAAGATTTTCATTGTGCAGAACTGACCGATGCCGCTCATTACTAATGGACATGGACCGTGAGTTCTGAGAAACAAGGTCTTCATATTTGAAAGCAAAAGGAACATTCCTATATTATAACGTTTCCATACTGAAGGTAAAATATCACAGAGATATTAAGAAAGCCATGAAATTTCAAAACTTGCTTACCTCTGTATTTCCTCTTTTTATATTTCACTTTGTATTGTGGAGTTATATTTTCTGATGATTGATCGAGGTACTTAAAGGTGGACTTATGTGTATATCTTTTAACTCAGTTATTGTGAACAAATTAGGGAAAG